TGTAGACATGTTCACTATAGAACAAAACTGTAGCTTACAATTCATAGCAGATACCGGCCAGAGGATTTATATATTATGTATACAGGGTCATCTAAAACTTCAGCGAAAGCAAGCAAGAAGACTATAGTCGGTCTTTAAAAGATAGTAGAGAGCAATCTTCTTTTTGGAAGTTGTAGCGTCAATTGGTAGAGCTTGGTTTTTTAGCACACCCTGGCTAGCTCATTGACGGTACAAAAATTGATGTAAAAAAGTAAAAAAAAAACTGAAAAGTTGGAGAAAATGATTGATTAAAAATCGATTGTTAAGTATTCGCTATTTTCGTCCGTTGATTATCTTATGTCCCTCCACCAGTCCTTCTCTATAATATGTCTGTCCGTTTAGAATGCATGTCCGTCTATTAGGTCATCGATCATTCATCCGCCATTTAGTACTTACCCATTCCACCGCTGTCCTTTCCGAGTTCTGGCTCAAAATTACACACCACCTTTTTACATTTCCATTCGAGTTTTATTTTATAATATCAATCAATTGCAAAACAAAGAAAGATGAAATAAAGTGATAAAATACTCAAGAACCTGTCGCTTCCATCATATCTCGTTTGTCTTCTACAGCTATCCAACCAATGTTGTAAGTTGTATACATATGTAGTTGTATCAAATTTTACATAGTACAATGTCACTTTGAATTGATAAAAAATTCTCTCCACGACAACACTCTTAGTCATAATTGTGAACGCGTTAGTAGTAGAGTTGAACAGAATGGAAACGCTCAATACATTTTACTTTTGCTTTTATAGTTTTGCCATTTTTTTTTTTAAGGAATTCTCTCTTATTTTTCGTATTCGTCATCCTCGCTTTCAGTATATTATCCAGATTATCCAAATGAATTTGTACTTGCAGGCTTTCTTCTCACTAGATAATGTGCTTTTAGTGCAGTTGTGCGTTGTTCGCTATTTTTATTGCCACTAAACTAAAAGATAATCTGTTCTTCCTTGATTTGATGGTTATGGCCACGTTCCGGTATATCATTTAAACAACCTATGTCCCAAATTGTACAAAAAATATCCTCTGATTATTAGAATTTCTTTTTTCTCACATATATGTATTTATATACATATATATATTTATATACATATATACATACATATACGTATATGTATTTTTATTATATATTTGAAACTATAGGCGTATATACATGAATACATTGGGGTCTCTGTTACAATTCCTTTCTTTTGCGTACCGTCTTTTTTGTCGTTTCTTTCTGAATTTTAATCGTAACTTTTACTCGTGCACACACAAGTCTCGTTTTTCACACCCTTATATATTCCGTATGTGTATTGGTATGAAAGTAGAAATTATATATTACCAATCCCACTTCAAAATTAAATATTGTTTTGATATTATATTTATCGAGAACCCTGCACACAAACTGAGAAAAATGTTATTTGTACAATGAAGTTAGCTCTGCCTTTTTTTATGTCGTTGTTGTTGTTCTTCTTCTTGTTCTGTGATACACTTAACAATCCTTTTCTTTCCATCAACGACTTGTTGATGATTTGGTCGCTCAAAGTAGACTGACAGTTTTTCTCTCCACGCACCCTTGTAATATGCAGACAAACATTGTTGCTCTCTTTTTGTTTTCATTAATCTCTCTCTCTCGCTATTGTTAATTAATTTCTACCTAACAATAGCAAAAAGGTTTATGAAAAGAAAAAGAATGATTGGCGGTCATCCGCTATGTTGAAGAGATTAATTATTGCTCTTTTACGGACAAGCATTATTATAAGGAGACAGACAAAACGTATTCAACCTACACACGCCGACGTCACAAATTAAATGTGATCTGTGTAAATTTTTCCATGTGTTCGACTACCTTATTCATGCTATTAAGATGTTTTTGAAAAAGCTTTGAAGCTTCGTTTTTACGTGCGAAAGGTTCTTTTCCAATATAAAAAGAAATCCTGGGTGCCAACTTCTATTAAAGGCTTGCTGAATGCCACTGTTTATTTTCGAACACACTTCTTACTTCTTTAAAGATTCGATGGCATTGCTCCGCGGGACCAAGCTTGTTGCGAAATGCAAATTGATACTCGGGAACTACTAACTTTAGGAAGAGTTTTCCAAAGATTTTCAAAAAGTTAGATTGAAGACTTATTGGCCTGTAAGACTGAATGCCATTCTTTTATTAGATACCATTATAATTTCAGCGCCTTCCCATTGATCTGGAAAAAGATTCACTCAAAAAATTGAATCAAAGTCAATAACATGACACCATTTTTAGGCCGAAGCATTTTTGCTTTGAAAGGGATATCCATTTAACAGGAACTGTCAAGAAATATGATATCTTTCAGTCCGTCCTCGAGACTGTTGGAAGAAAAAGGTTGAAAGATAAATTACAATAGGGTTTAAAAAAGCGATTGGCTTGTTTGAAGCTGATGTACACTTTATGCTATTTGAGTCTTTTATCAGCTAGAGTCCCGTTTTGTGTTCAGATGTTTCTTTATGTCCACTTTAATTCTAGTATTAATAATAATAGAACCTTATTCTTACTTTCTGTTTGTTACACTTGATATTATACCTTGGACGAAAATCAGAAGATCAAAATTGTCACATTTAATTTGAACTCCCGCAGCTTAATGATGTGGCTTACCGCAGTTAACCGGAATGGCTAAATTTTAAAAAGATGTAACCGAAACCATTGCCGAACCACTGTGAGGCCTATTATCGGGATGTTTCTATGAAACAGTATCATATCCTGTAATTTGGAACTTCAATCAGTAAAACGAACTTCAAAATTAGGAAAACGTCATTACGATGTTTCTGTTTCTCTTGTAGGCTTTGCCAATCCATTTGCATTCCATATATATTTCCTTAAATTTATTTGCATAGCTTAGAGATTAGCATTGTTGTCTTATTGAGGAGTTCTGGCTAACACAGCTTCGACTTTATTCATTGGATTTGTGTAGGAATTATTATTGTTTAGTGGAAAATCGTTCGAATCTTGAGAAGGATCATTAATTCCACGACTGATACGCGAAGCATAGTTTTGTGTTACTCGTGCTTGAAGTGCTTTCCTGCATATTCGGCAGTGTAATCTTTTAAGCAATTGACAATACAACCTCTTACAATAGGGCTTGATGTGGGCACCTACGGCAGAGTGCCATTTCAACAGTTTTTCTAGGATCTTCAACAGGAATTAAAGCGTGATTAATATGCCCGGCTTTAAGGATTTCCACGATTTTGATTTAGAATCCAGGTCAATGTAAAACACAGCTGGAGCTTCTCAGGTTACTCTATATGGAAAATTAATAATATGGCATCACTTCTGATGTAATATCAGCGGCACAGATAGTATTGGGTAAAGTTTCTTTACTACACTACTACTACTACTACCACTTCCATATTTTTATTAAGGTACATGTGCTATGAGCATGCTTTTGCGTCAATTGAAATGTATGAAAACCTATTTTACAAAAACCTAAACACTTGACTAGTTCTCTTTCTATAAAGCTCAACTGTCTTTACCACAAAAGCCTAACGCGATTGGCTTATAAACTTTTGTAATTAAATCGATCTTTTGGCACAACGTTGTTGTTATCATCAGCTTCTCCATCATCATTAATGGTCTGAAAAAGTGCAAATTGATTGCTGGTAGCTTGTTTGTCAACATTAATGTTTAACTCACGTCCTTTTTTCGTCGAGTTTAGGAGATCCACGCTAAAGTCGTTTTCAATCTTTATGTTATTTTTGCTTGCGAACAATACATTGGCACGCACTATTAGTGTCACATTCTTCACCTTCACGGAACGTACGGCGTTGCTTTGGCCAAAACACTCAACAACTTGGCTCACGGCTAAGAACAACATATTGCACAAAGATAACAAATTGTTCGCGTGGGTTCAAATAGCATTTGTTTGTCTTCAATGTTCGCAATTATGAAACCGTTTCTTACCTTCATCTTTTTTTTTCTTTTTTTAATTTGCAACAACACATGCAAGAGCACTCTTACTTCGAATATTAATCGATTAGACTGTTAGAAATAGCAATGACAGTGTTAACGAATGTCAATAACACACATCAATCTGCACGCAACGAGTCTTAAAACTGCAACTACTTTAAAAAAGATCTTTCAGTGCCAACCAAAAATTGTTGTTTCACTGCTGGACTAGGCATCAACAATTTGTAAATAATTACGACTTATTTAAGGTGAATTAAATTTTCTTAGATGTATTTTCACAAATCATGTTCATCTTCTAAAGTCTTCTTTCCCTAAGGAGCGCTCCGTTCTACACGAAAATGTCGAATATTCGCACAGCGTTCCGCAATCTTTCAATAAAAAAAAAAAAAAACAAAAAACGGTGCCTACTAATTTTGTTTTTTTTTTTTTTAAATTTTCTGTTTTTGTAGACGTGAAAAATGGTTTACGGCATTTGTATTTAATGTGCTGTTCTTCTCCATATCGTCTCACATTATTGTTATGATAATTATAACGGCTATTGAGGTTTTTTTTTTGTTTTTAGCGTTGTTTTTTGTTGTTGTTGTTGCTGTTGCTGTTGCTGCCGCTGCTGTGGCTGCAACTATTACCATTAACATAATGTTTTACTGTAATTTGATATCTTTGCTTAAACAAAAACTAAAAAAGAAGAGAAGAACGAGACATAACCAATATATATATATATATATATATCTATATGTGTGTATACAAAAAGCAGCTAAAGTGTGATATGATGGAATATTGTGGTGGTGGTGTTGTAGTTTTGTGATGAGTCAATAGGTTTTTTTTTCGTTCGTTTCAAGGTTCTCGGTTTCAACATTAAGATAATTCTTCAGAAAATGGGGGTAAAAATTTGTTCAAAAAATAATGCTGTCAAAAAAGTACCGAGAATATTATATTCAAAAATCAACTTACACGGTTTTGGCAAAAGTTATTTAGCGTTGTTCGTGCACCTCGAGTTGGGTGTTTTTGATCAAATTTCATTGGTGAGAAATGTATTGAAAATACGGGAAAAATTTTATGGTAAAGGAAATTGAGAAGGTACACGGTGTCGTTTTAAAGGCGATAATTTCTGCTATTCTACTTATCTTATAGACGCTTGTCCGCTTTGTACGCTGAATATACTTAGGCGCCTCCCTAAAGTTCCTTTAATTTACGTTTAATACAATAAGGATACCACATTTTTTTGGGGCAGTAAAAGTTATATGTCGTTTCAATAATTCCCAATACTTCTTCGCAGAATATATTCAAAAAATTGATCTCGTGTTTTTACTCTACCTGTACACCTTATTTAATCTATTTAATCATTTTGTATTTTCCTTTTTATTCTTAGTGGAAATTCGGATAAACAGCATTTGGATTCATCTAGTGATTCAGAAATGGAAGGTGCTTTAATGCAGCAAAGTCACAGTGGAGGCGCTGCCTCTAATAACAATAACGATAATAACAGCAGCGGTACTAACATTAATGCAAGCCACAGTCATCATCATCCGCAACATCCGGCAAATTCTCATCATCATCATCATCATCATCATCATCACCACCAGCCACACCAACAACAAACGCAACAACCACTAGGTGCAGTATCAACGCAACAATTATCGCCCAGCAACAGTAGTCATCATACGGCCGCCCATCATCAACCCTTGCATCATAGTGTTGCAGCAGTAGCGGCCGCACAACACGTTGTCGATCATACGTTAAGCGCTCAATTGGTAGGTGTGCCAACAGTAAGTGGATCAGCTAGTAAAAGTTCCAGCAATTCTGTGACCGCACAAATGGCTCCACTCTCGGCGGCCGTAGCCTATTCGCACTTGCACAGTGTTATGGGATCGATGCCAATTTACGATATGAGCGAATATCAACATTTATGATTTTAGTTGGACGCCCTTCGTTCGGGTAGCACTAGTAAAAGCAGCAGTACTAGCAACATTAACATACAAGAATGGTCGACAGGATATGCAACTGTTGCTAAACAAAGACCACAGAGGCAACAACAATAGCTACAGAAAACTGAGTTTTTCATTTAATAAGAGATAAAGGTACAAAACCTTTTAAAAAAAAAAAATCTTTTTTTTTTTTTTTAAACAATAAATTGTAAAAAATCGATTGACGCAAAACTTAAAATAAAGCAAAAAGCTAGCAACCACGTTTATCAATATTTATAAATATTATTTTCAATGTAGAAAGAAAAAAAAGAAAACGAGGAAAAAGGATAAAGGATTTTTTTATTACTGCAGACACACATTTTTGTGAAATATTTAGACTGGTTTAAAAAAAAAAATAAATAAATAAATAAAAATATATGTAAATATAAAATTTAAAATAAAAAAAAATTTTTAATAAAACTGTGCAAAATTCTTTAAAATAATTTATACATTGTAAATACGTTTAATTTTTATTTTTTTTAAGTCTGTTTTGTTAAACTTATCAGGATTAAATTATTAAAAAATTTTATAACACCCACACAAGTAAATAATAAATGTAAATAAAATTACTTGCTTATAAAAACACTTAAGCATAACGCTGTTATTTATTCAACTTTTTATTTTTTTTTTTTGGACCAACCACCTACGGCCAGGTGTTTAGAATGGAATGAAAATGCAAACTCTTTCGAAATTTCCTTTAATTATTCATTAAAAGTATATACAAAAAAAAAAAACTTATCATGTACGCCTGCGATACCTTAAAGCCGATCACTTTGCTTAATAACTGACAATGAGATTAACCCGTCTATACAATTTTTATGCTGTTCCTTGTCAGTTGTAATCTCATTTTCTTGGTAATTTTTTTATTATTAAATTCTATTGTCTTGTTTTTCCTTTTTTTTTTTTTTTTTTTTTTCTTATAGAAATTTTCATTCATTAATTGTCCATTCAAACAGCAATATATTTGCTCACATATGTATAGAAAACATCGTACCGAACATTAAGGTTGGCCTTGCTCTACTTCACCCTACGCAATAAAGCAGTTTTTTTTTTTTTTTTAATTACATATTTAATTTGCAATCAATCCACAAAAATAATAAGTGTTGGAAATAAAAGGGATTATTATCCCACCAATCGGAATCCGCAACATAGCAGACATGAGTATAATGGGTCATATTGAAAAGTCTTCGCGGTTTTTTCGACGGTTCCGAACTTCGTTCTTCTTCTGATGCTTTCAAATGATTCCAAACTGTCATGTGGCTGACGTTCATCGCTTATGCTATTTGCTGATAGCTTCCGCATCAATTGCAAAATTTCATCGACTTTTTCAATGACTGCGAGGTGCATCTTTAACGCTGAAATTTCCGAAACGGAATCGAGTAAATCACTCCTGCGTACTTCCCTCATTCACATCCTTCTCATTCTATACTTCACATACTTTGCGATATGTTCTTGCAATGTTTTCGCCTTTTTACAGTCAAAAAGCATCACATAGCGTGTTTCCTCCGATATTTGACTCATTTCCAAAATCAATATAATTTTTCACGCGATCAAAGAATTAGAAAAACATCTTCACAAGAAATATAAGCTGAAATGTCACCTTTTAAGTGCACGTTGTCGTTTGACTCGACCAGGTTTGTGTTGCCCGATAAAAAGGCGTCAACACCATCCCACGGAAAAAATTGCGGGGAATTTTTAATACGACCTAATCTACAAACTTGGAAGAGACATTGTCTCACTTATATGATTACTCAGTCTGAAAAGATATCTGGAGGAAATGCGTTGAATTGCATTTCTGATAAATAGAAAATCCAGGTCAACAGAAAGGCGGAAGGCCTTCGATTGATACTTTTTGGGGTATTTCAATATTAGAGTTACTATGACCTCATAGTTCTTTGCCATAGATCCAAATAGAAGGGAGATACTCTTGTATATAATGCGTTTATTTCTTAGATTAAGTTGAGTTCTGGACGAATTAGCCAAGAGAGTCTTCTGGTTTTTAAAACAAATTGCTGGCACTGAGGTTGACTTCTTCGTATTAGTCTTTGATCAATATGTAAGTCAAGATATTCGACACAATTGTTGATAGGGATATTATTGGCATCCAAGAGATTAGCCAAGGCTGTATAGCATGGACTAAGTTTTGTAATAAAACAATAAGTCATGAAGTTAATGATTGTCCACGTGGGTCAGGTTGCTCAAAAGTGGGATTGTTTCTGGTACGAAGGTGCACTATTCATCTGATTATCGGGACGAATGCCTTCTTACGTGACTGCTGAGTACCGTGATGGCTGTAATTACCTCGAAGTTTCCTTTGGGAATTAAACTAAGAGGTATTTAGAGGCATAGCAATAAGCGAAAAAATGTCCCATACTCATTCTCTATTTTGGTGCCTCAAGAATAGTTGGCCCCCTTCAACGGAGATTGTCCTACTCCTTGGGGGGCGTCGATTATCGCTTGTCAACATAACCCTTGTGCTATGGGGCTAAAGCTTCAACGTAGGAACATACATAAAACCATATAAGAATTCTGCCATCCAAGAACAGTGAAGGAGAAGAACCCTTATTTAGCGTGTAGGTTATATATTCTACTTGTTCAGCCAAAGAGAAATTTTGTTAAGACGAATTTATAGCTGTAGGAAGCATTCATAGGACCACAAGATGCAAATAGGATTTGTACGTCATCAACGTATGAAGCGAAAATTGCATAGAATATTGGACTAAAACCACTACCTTTGGGCACTCCACATACTATTTATTATATATATTGAATCATCATCCCTTCAACATTAATATAGAAACAAATAGGATTAAAGCAGCAAATACATAGAATTTGTAAGAAAGTTTTCAAATTAGAAAAACAAACCATTAGGCCAGACTTTATCGAAGGCCTTTCCCACATCTACCAGCAAGCACACCGTCGCAATGTTTAATTTCAATGGCTTCGCTGATGTAGGCAAGAATACGATAACATTGCTCAATGGTCTCATGTTTATTACCGAAACCGAACTGATGGAAAAATATGTTTTTACTCTAGGACTGGAAGTAGTCTTCGTAGATATATTTTCTCAAAGGTTTTAGAAAAAATAATCAGTAAACTAATTGGTCTATACGAGTTTACAAGGTTTTCTCGCTTATTAGATTTAGCCGCTAAATTGCTTCTGTGCGCTTCTATTGAATTGTAAGGTGATTCAATCTTCTTAATATATTGCAAAAAATTAACGTTAAGAAGATGAAAAAATATTAAAATAATCAGACCATTTGTGCAATCAAATCCAGGAGATTTTTTAACATTCAGTTTTCTTACTCCTTTGACTACAATACCAACCAATACCTGTCTGATAGGCCAATCCGTAGGACATGCGCTGTCTAGAAATTCCAATACTTCTTCTGCGTTTGAAGTATCGCATGGGTTAGTAGGCTGTAGAGTGCTTTTTAGAAAATGAACAAAGTTTTCAGCTTTCGGTTTTCTTCATATCATTTTTGCACCAATTTTCGAACGTATCTCTTAAAGGAACAATTCGCTTGATCGATAGTTAAAGATATTTAATGACTCTCCATATGTAATGCTCACCACACATGCCTGATCTCAGCTAAACGTAAGCGCAGGTCCTCTATTCGAATTCCTTTTATGTAGAAGATTCCTACTGCTCCGATCATTTGCCTTTTCCCGAAGCTAACGTAATTGATGTAGCATCTTGGCGGGATCAAAATTTCTGAGAATGGATATAAAACCAGTTGGGTGAATAAGATTTTTAAAACTACTACTGGATTATCAATTTCAGAAGAGCTTTGCCAAGTCAGATTAAGTTGTAAATTGTTATCGATCCAATCACTAAAAGCTTGGATCTCCGCGATTGATGTTCGACGTTTAGGTCCTTCCAACAATAAATTTTGCAGCCAATTGCCGGAAAAAATCGTTACATTTCAATGAAAATCATGGAAAAAAATAAACCGCACAAATTGAAATATCAAAATTGTTGCAATTCATTTTAACACGAGAAGCCTGCAAAAATTATTCTTTGAAGATATTCGAAGTTTTATATCCAATAGTAGAGATCACTAGAATCACGGAATCAACATCAGCTCCATCGTGAAGGTGATTCGCCGTTATTAAGTTGAGTCCCTGCTTTTTAATCAAGTCCTCAATTAGGATTTGGATTTTTCGATATTTCAGCGTATTGGGGAATTTTCGATATGATAGCCTATTATCATTAGTCATGGCAATACTAAGTGTAATCGGATGTTGTCAAGTTGATTGAAAAAATAATTATTATTACGCTTGTCCTGCGTCTTAATCTACAAGAATTTCAAAGTTTGTTAATGGCATACGGAACAACCTTTACCCACATGATTTTTCAATTAATTTGAAAATTTTGGATGGGGATCGTCACTTGTAGTCCAGGGCTTAATTAAGTGAACCAAGCTACATTTCACACATTCGATTTGCTCTATGCAATATTTGGACAACTATGTCCGCTAATGCAACTGTGGGATGTATCTGTAAAGGAGCTTCGCCTCTAACGACAGCATGATTAAAGTATTTCACTTTGTAAACCTTTTCGTTATGCTCACTTGGTTCTACATTATCTTTTGGATCATTACTGAATCTACGACATACGTTGAAAATATTGCGAACTTTTGTCATTTAAAATTTTTTCTGACTACCTATGACTGTCTTTCAAAGTTTTGTAATTAAATTCATTAACTAGTCCATCTCCACTCAACAACCCAAAAAAAAAATCCTTAGCAGCAATCACAGTTGAAAAATCCTTTACGATGCATTTTATGTCACCTACGCAAGGAATTAAGATTTATGGCGTTTTTGGAGATATTAGTGCTTCATTATCAACCCTTGGTATTATTATCGTTAATAACATTGTTTCCATCAGGGTTTAGAATAGAAAAGCGATTTATTGAGTTTACTTTGGCAGCTTTTCGATGAGCAGGGGTTACTATAGAGTTATTATATTGTACATGTTATTATACATATGTACATATTATCTATATAATGAGAACTGTCTTGCTTGCGAAGACTGCCCATCTATGGAATTGCTACCTGGGTTGGAAGCTTGTTCATTCTGCGGAACTAAAGATATCTTATTGGTTTTGTACGTCGAAATTGTTTGGGCAACGCTATTAGACCTGGCACGATAAAACAT